GGCTGCCATCACTAAGCACCTTCTAACACATGCCGCTTTCCTGGCTGTCACCGGCTTCAATACCTTGTCAGTTTGCAGACTTTGTTCAAAGGCAATGATACAACAAAGTCACTGAATATACATGGAAGCCAGGCACTGAGTATTTTCAGAGGCAGAGGTCAGCAATAGTGACTTACATGTTCCCTCAGAACAGTTCTGTGCAGTGGTGGCCAGAGGGTATAAAGGGTCATAAACTAAACATTAATCGGTATTCTATACTGAATTTCCATAAGTTCTATCCCACTCCTAATATCCATATAGAAGTTTGAAGATGCCCATCGGATGTACTTCCTCAGTACACTGACACAATTTCACTCAGCCCTGTGAATATGCACTTCCTTGTGTCCCCACTCTCACAGAGGCTGCCTTCTGAGCTACAACTTAACGTCGGAACAATGTAACATTATCATTACTTGCTGGAAGCAATGCATGATGGGATATGTAATCTTGAGAAATGGAGATTGCATTACATCATGCTGCAGGCTCTCAGGCTAAAAGGAGACATGGGGCTTTCTGCGGCTGTAAGCATGTATCCACATGTACCCATACACCCAGCAGTTGGGGACAGATACCCAACCCCGGATGCACATAGATTGCATCCAGGGCTAATTGATGATATATGCTTATAGCCACGGACAGCCCCGACTCCTTTCTGCCTGTCATTGAGTTGTGCAGGCTTAGCGTCTGCCAAAGATTGGAACACCTAGGATCCTGGGCGGAAGTGTCTGCAGTATACTGGCCACACCATGGCCGGTTTAGGACTTGTAAATGAGGCCATAGAGATAACGGCTATTACAGCCCCTTTACAAATCCATACTTACACATGAATGCTCCCTATAGCCTACTTAAAAATTATCTGTGCCATGGCATGATCCATTATCAAAGGAATAAAACAAAAACATAAAAAGAGAAAAGGGACAGAAATGTAATATGTGGTAATAAAAACTAAACCAACTGAAGCATTTACCTGCTAGAACCCGTCTTAAAGTGCCATACACCCTCCCAGTGAACTTCTCTTAGGCTGGGCACACACCTTACAACCATCGCAAGACTTCTGTCTTGCGATGGTTGTAAGGTACTTAAAAAAACGTACGATCTGCCTATGTTGCATAGGCAGATCGTACTTGCGATGATCGCAAGCCACGCCCCCTGAGGGGCGGGCTTCCGATGACCTCAATGCCGAACTGGCAGTGTGCGCTTGCGCACACCGGCCCGTGCGGCTGTTATCGTACGGACATGCCACAAACCCGCCGAACATCGTACGATGCTCGGCGGGTTTTCGAACATGTCCGTAACTTTAAAGTCGTGCGACCTTACAGTAGTAGAGGTCGCACGGCTTCCACACACCTTATGATCATCGTACGATCGCGGGATTTCCCGCGATTATCGTACGATAATCGTAAGGTGTGTGGGGACCCTTATTTGCTCCCTTTCGGTCTGATAAATGTATCATTGGAAGCATTTTGTTATAAATGTTCAATAAGTATAAAAAAATCCCAGCTGGTTTCATCAGGAACCTTGTGAGCTCATGACTTCCTGTGCTCTTTCTGGGAGGAAGTATGGAGATGAGGAGAGGTCTGTGTTCTTCTATTCAGCAATGAAGTAAGTGGGGCTGATGACATGTGCTTAGAAATTTTGAGCTGAAGATATACTGGGCTCAATAACTATCTTATTTGGTGCACATGTGATGCGTACTCAGAGTGCACAAAATCCTCAACATATTGTGGATCGATGTTGGTAGGGATGACTGTTACCGATACTAATATCGGTATTGGTGCCGATACCGAGTATTTGGGCGAGTACTCGTACTCGCCCAAATACTCTGATACCTTCCCCGATACCGGAATTTCCGGTCAATCAGGAAGCTGGGCGGCGGGTAATGACTTAACACCCGGCTTCCTGATTGTCCAGGAAGCCAGCTCCATGCTTCCGGCCAATCAGCATTGGGCCGGCCAAACAGCGTGGAGCCGGATTCCCGGGCAATCAAGATGCTAGGCGGCAGGTAATGGCCCGCCGCTCGGATTCCTGATTGCCCAGGAAGCCGGCTCCATGCTAGTGGAAGTACAAGTATCGTTACTCGGTATCGGCGAGTACCGAAATATAAATATCGGTACTTGTACTTGATACCGAAAAACCAGTGTCGGTGCATCCCTAGATGTTGAAGATGATTTGTGCCAAACCTGGGAAAAACGCAAATTGTAATTTGTTGCAGCTTTTGCGCCCTATAAACTAACATCTACGAATTTTAACCGCATATCTACTTCTGGTCTGAGCAGGCGCAGATCTGTACATTGGGCTGACTCCCTTCGATACATAATAGAGGGAGAGTGAGCCAGGAGAAGCTATCCTCTCCCTGCCTCTGCATAGCTGGCATGTTCCCTGTGATGAGGGTCCGGACAGGCACCCCCCCAGAGTGAGCGGGCAGCTCTGCGCCAGCGCTTCTCTCTCCCCTCAGCGATCACTTCCTAATTACAGGAGAGAGAGTAGAAGCAGTGATACAGTGAGCTTCTATAACTTACTGTATAGCTCCCTGCACAGTGACAGCGCGCCAGGTGTGCACCATCACTGTGCAATATGCTTCTAAAAAAGGGAGTACTGATAAATATGGCGACTGTGCACAGACAAGTATACATTGCTCAGTGCCCTGCACTGAGCCATGTGTGGTTTATCAGGCTCACCGCATTGCAAGGAGGAAGCTAGGCGCACACTAGAATTCTGGCACATCAGCAGCTATTTTCCTGTACTTGCAGAATGTTTGAAGTGATGAATAATGGGGAGATCTGCATATGATCCAGAGATGTACTAAATATACCGTATATATATTTTTTATTTCGCCTGATGTGTATATATATATATATATATGAA